GAATTTTTTTTTGAGACAGGGTCTCACTACCTAGCTCTGGCTGTCCTGAAACTCAGTAAATAGATATGCAGACCACTCTACACTAGCTTTGAACTCATAGAGATGTGCCTGCTTCTGCCTCCCAAGTGCCAGGATTAAAGGTGTGTGCCATCACAATGGGTCCCTAACTCCTCATTAAAAGAATCCCAAGTGCTGGCTTCACCTCTGCAGGCCTATAGTCCTGGCTGACTGCAGACAACACAGGAAGTGGGTGGGGGAAGAACTCAGCCTCTCCCCAGGCTCAGAGCAAACTGCCTCTTCTCCACTTTCTCTTTGTCATCCAGGGAGAGCCAAGTGAAGACAAGAGGGAAATACTCCTGTGTCTTTGGCTGTGTCAAAGACTCAGAAATGAAAACAGACAGCAGGCAGGCTTTCCATAGACCTGCCCTGCCCTTTGGGCCTCCTCTGCAGCATGTGACTCTAGGGACTCGGGCTTCCAGGGGTCATGGCTGATGGTCTGAATCAGAACCACAAGAGGAGTCTCTGTAAGGGTGTCCAGCATGTGGACATGCCCCGACTTCCAGTGTGGGAGCAGCATTTAATACAAGATTTCCTAACAATGTCCTTTGAGTGCATGAACTGGCAATTAGTCAGTGCTGCCTTTGTGAGGTTTTTCACTGACTCTTAACTATGAAAACTGAACACATGATCCACTTGGTTCTTAAGAAGCCGCTGGCAGCACGTGGCCCTTGCTGGCACAGAGGAGTCTAGAGTGACTTCAGGGGCCAGATGCGAAGTTATTGGGGCAGCAGCTGCTTTTTTCCCGGGACCGAGCACTTGGCGAAATTTCTCCCTGAGAAGAATTTCATAAACTCTGTGAAGTACCTGCAAACTGGGCCGCGTGCCGTTTTACCAGGGAAGACCCGTCTACCCTTCCTCGCGCCTTTGAAATTCACTTATTTGGTTTTTGTCTGGTCAGCTGGGGCCCGTCCACAGTCTCTGGAGAGTTCTCTGTTTGTCACTCTGGATCCTTCTGAAGGACGAGCAGGACCTGGAAGAATATTTCAGTGCAGAGTGTGCACCCTTGAGAGTCTCCGATGGATGGTTGTGAGCTGGGTGCTACGGCCCTTTCTTTACTCAAAGGACGCTCATCACTCGGTTAGAGGGAAGAAAATACTGTTTATAAACAGCAAATACCATCTCCACTAAGAAGAGTCAAAGGGGAGTTTAGAAATTTGGAAATACAAGTATTAGAAAATGCGTTTTCAAAAAAAACAATTTCATGTGTGTGTGTGCTGTGTACATGTATGTGTATATATGTGTATGTGTGTGAGGTGTGCATGGGGTGTGTGTGTGTACGTGTGTGTGGTGTATGTATGTACATGTTGTGTGTGTGTGTACATGTGTACTTGTGGTGTATTGTGTTTTTTTACATGTATGTGTGGTGTATATGTGTATATACATGTATATGAGGCTATGTGTGTAATGTATGTGTGTGTATGTACATGTGAGGTTGTGGTTTGTGTGTGGGGTATATGTGTGTGTGTGGTGTATGTGTGTAAAGTTGGGAGGGAGTGGTGGTTTATGTGTGTATGTACATGTATGTGTATATGTACATGTGCGTGGAATATATATGTATTGTGTGGGTGTGCGTGTGTGTGCGCACGCGCATGCTGGCAATAGAATTTCAGGAACTTGGTTTATTCTTTCGAATATTCTATTAAAAAATAAAGTCAATGTACATTGAAAGGGAAGTACGTATAAATTGAATAAATGGTGTGAGAGAGAGAGAGAGAGAGAGAGAGAGAGAGAGAGAGAGAGAGAGAGACAGAGAGAGACAGAGAGAGACAGAGAGAGAGAGAAAGCGCTTGTGTGGAGGTCAGGGGACAACTTGTAGGAGTTGGCGCTCTCTTTCCATGTGGTGGGGGGGGGGGGTGAAACTCCAGCTGCCTGTCTTGGCTGCAATCACCTCTATGCACTGAGCCATTGCTCCAGCCCAGTCACGTGGGTTTTTTAAATATCTGTGTAATGTTAAATAAAACATAAAAACCAGTTCTTGAATTAATCTAAGAGTGAGAGGATTTGCTATAAAGAGGACAGGAATAAAATATTTTCTAGAACATTCTAAAATATCAGGGCCTATTAAGAAATCAAATGATCCCTGGCAGGCAGAGAAGCAAGCAAGTAGAAGAAATAAATAAGAGGAACAGACATGGCCATTGCTGTCCTGAACTCACAGGAGCTGTGATCACCTACACAAGCCCTGTACAAGGTCAAGCCAGCACTCCAGATGGCAGCACTCATCGGAATCGGTGGTTACAAAATCAAAACGGAGAGGAAAGAAATGGGGAGGGGGTACATGTTGACAATGTCACGATATATTGTATACATGTATGAAATTGTCAAGAAATAAATAAAAGATAAAAAGAAACAAATGAAACAGAGTGAACAATCCAGATATGGATTTATGTTATCATAATGATTGCATTTTAAGCGGTTAAACATAGAATATATTTCTGATATTGAAATCGGACAAGCCTTGTTAAGTCAAAAGTAAAATCTAAAAATCACATGATCAATTATTTAAATGCATAGCATTTAAGAACAATTTATGACTACTAAAAATACACATACAAAACTAAAGAGATAAGGTTCGTAGATGGGGAGAGAATATTTGTAGGACACATTAGACAAATGTTCAGTGTGCGTACAGAACACCACATAACTACAAGTGTGAATAACCCAGTAAAAAAATAAGCAAAACAAACAAATCAATAAGGACAAAGTAAATGGTTACTTAAGAAATAAAAATGTATTTCAAGAAATAAATTTGGGTGGATGGGAAAGTTAGGAGGATCTGGAAGGAGTTGAGGGAGGGGAAACCATGACCAGATTATATTGTAAGAAAAATCGATTTTAAATTAAAAAGAAAGAGTAAAAATAAAATAATAAAAACATGTAAAATAAAGAAGAGAAAGAAGAGGAGGAGGAGGAGGAGGAGGAGGAGGAGGAGGAGGAGGAGGAGGAGGAGGAGGTGGAGGAGGGGGGAAACCTCGACACAGGACAGAACTGTTTGCAGCCGTGGGATTTTAACAATAACATAACACATTCATGCTGACAATTTCGGTCATGTATACAGCGCATTCTGATCAGCCTAACCCCCCCCCCCCCCCCCCCCCCCACCCCCCCCCGCTCTCATTTCCCTCCCCTCCGTACCCTTCTCCCACCCTGCTGCCTCTCCTCCTTTCTGCCTGTCCTCTCCCCCCATTTACTCTGTTCTCCTCTGCGACCACTGAGTTTAAACAGGGCTGTCTGGGACTGCGGGTTGGAACCACCCATCGGAGGGAGCACCCTGGGCTTCTCAGTATGTACGCAAATGAGGACAGCAGTCACGAGATTGTTTGTTTTGTGTCCCGCTCAGGTCCAGAGTGGATGGGGATACTAGGCAGGGACCCCTCAGGCCCTCCTGGCTTGGGTTCCCACCTGTGCTGTCTATAGTGGCCCGGCAGGCTGCCCTGGTTCCCACCCCAGACCTTTGCTTTTCTCGTACCTTTCTCTGAGAGGCCCGTAAGCCTCCAGTAGGCTGGCATACGCTCAGCACCAGACCTCAGTCCTGCCTCCTGAAGATAGTGATTGGTCAGAAGCCAGGATAGACAAGGAATGGCCGAGAGAATTTTGCTGAAGGCTTTGTTTTTAGTTCATTCTTTGGTTTGGTTTGGGTAGGGTTTTGTGTGGGTTTTCGAGACAGAATTTCTCTGTGTAACAGCTTTGGCTGTCCTGAAATTTGCTTTGTAGACCAGGCTAGCCTTGAACTCACAGAGATCCTCCTGCCTCTGCCTCCCAAGTGCTGGGATTAAGGGCATGGACCACCATGGCCAGCAACTTCTTCATTCTTAAGGAGAACATAAAAATTCCAAACTTACTTTCTCCCACAACAGGGCCAAGCAAGAACATGGCTCTCAGCCCCTTGGACTTCTCAAAGTCCTCCTGCCTGGCTTCATAGCATCATCACGTGGTGCTCTGGGTGCTGGGAACTCACTGGGTACCCAGTGGACAAGCCCATCTGTGTAGAAAGTATCTGTGTATAGAGAAGAAATGGAAAAGACCGAATGAATGAAATCACAGAGTGACAGCACACAGGAAGGACACTGACAGACTCCAAACAGTAGCACCTTCCCAGAAGGCTCGTGCGACATGTCCTTGGAGATGGGGAGGGAGAAAGCTACGTTGGCAAATGCGAGAAAAATACTCCAGGAAGAGGGAGGAAGTCCCAGGGCCAGGGTAGGCCTAGAAAGGTCTAGTGTGGGAAAGAGCTGGGTAGAGAAACAGATGAATAGGGGGTCCTTTGGAAAGATGATGGGGGCTTGGCTATGTAAGACCTTTTCAGTGGGATCAAGAGTGATGTTTTTTTTTTTTTTTTTTTTTTGGTTTTTCGAGACAGGGTTTCTCTGTGTAGCTTTGCGCCTCTCCTGGAACTCACTTGGTAGCCCAGGCTGGCCTCGAACTCACAGAGATCTGCCTGTCTCTGCCTCCCGAGTGCTGGGATTAAAGGCGTGTGCCACCACCGCCCGGCTAAGAGTGATGTTTTGTTCTGACTAAAATGAAAAGTCACTGGAGAAGTTAGGGAGGTGACGTGGCCTTGGTTTCATTAGATAACTCTAGTCACTTCGTTGTCTGGACTGTCCACATCACAGGCAGTCTTCAAAGCAGGCTCCAACTCAGAATGATGAGTGGGGGGAAAGAGGTGGGTGGATTAAAATCAGTCAAATAGTGTGGTAGGGAATCCCTCGGCACCAGCCCCAGATATACTGGGGGCGGGGTACTTCTCTGTCATCTCAGCAGTTAGGAAGTGGATGCAAGAGGATCAGGAGTTCAAGGTCATCCTTGGCTAAATAAAGAGTTAGAGGCCAGCCTGGGCTACATGAGACCCCGTCTCAACTAAGTAACTAAAATTTTGAAAAGAATACCTCACATAAGTCCCTAATAAATGACAGCTGTAATTATTATCCCTTTCATCGCAGCAATAAATAACAGGACTGCTGGAGGTGGACAGAGAAGATGAAGGAACTAACAGAGACCTGGGGTGGGGCATGCTTGGACCCAGCACTTGAGAAACTGAGGCTGGAGCATCATAGGATTGAAGCAGCCTGAACTATGTAATCAGAAGTTGTCAGAGCCCAAACCAAACAAGACACCAAGGCCTAACCTTCAGTCACCTTGTGGGAAATGGAGTCACCTGGAACCATTTCTCTCTCACATGCCGGAATTTGGGGTTAAGAGAGATGCTGTCTGGTTCTCTGCTGTCTCTGGTACCGCCAGCGGCACCTAAAACACAGCACTCAGCCACGAAGCGCTTGTTAAATGCATCGTTCTTGCTGGTGGAAATAGGAGGCTCGGGGATCAGCAGGTTACTCAGCTGAAGGTGTCACAGCTTCGTGTGAACCTGACTCTCCCAGTTCCCAGCAACGGACCTTCCCAGCAGTGGGGTAACCTGGGCTCAGAAACACATCCAGCTCTGAGCACAGTGTTCAGAAGCCGTGGTGATGCTTGAGGGCTGCAGTGAAGAAGAAGAGGGGTGCCTCCCTCCCTTTCTTTTCCCTGAATCATTGCTCTTCAGTCTGTTGAGAAAGTTACATTCGGTTCGTAAATGTGGCTGCTCTATAAGGAAAACCTTGAAGTCCTGAAAGATTCCACCCAATCTGAAACCCAGTCATCCACTGGACAATGAAACGTTTGAAGGCTGCCAGTGTTGACCTCCCTCCCACTGCACATGCGCTCTGTGTTTTTCAAGGATTCTCCATATATGATTCCTTGAGGCAAAAAGTTAAGTATAACCATAGCATTACTTTTAGAAATTTCATGGTAATAGGACTTTTTATACAATTAGAAACAACCTTGAGTCTCTTAGTCCTCTGTTTAATACAGACTTGATACAGCATGAGATTGAAAGGTTAAGATCCATCTCTCTGCAGTACTTACCCCCTATAGCTTAGACTGTTATCACAGTGGTGATGCTCTATCACTGCAGCAGTACTTACCCCCTATAGCTTAGGCTGTTATTACATGGTGGTGATGCTCTATCACTGCAGCAGTACTTACCCCCTATAGCTTAGGCTGTTATTACACAGTGGTGATGCTCTATCACTTCAGCAATACTTATCCTCAATTGATTAAGCTGTTATTACACAGTTGTGATGACTCTATCATTGCATAAAACTTCCATGACACCTGTACACTCATTTTTTGTATTGTATGTATGAAAAACTAGTATAAATAAATAGCAATATTTGCCCAAAATAAGAGAACAAAACTAGACATGGTGGTCACTGTTGTGGTCCCAGCACTTGGGGGTCTGAGGAATGGTAGTATTATATATAGCCAGAGTTATATAGCAAGGTCCTGTCTCAAAATAAACAACAGATAGATAGATAGATAGATAGATAGATAGATAGATAGATAGATAGATAGATAGATAGGAAAATAGGTAGGTAGGTAAGTAGATAGATAGATGATAGATAGATAGATAGATAGATAGATAGATAGATAGATAGATAGATAGATAGATAGACAGAAAAATAGGTAGGTAGGTAAGTAGATAGATAGAGGAGAAAAACAAAGGTACTGTTATAGTGACTCAATTTTTATAAGTCCTACAAACTTTTCACTTACTAGAGTTGTAGATAGTTTTAAATGGCCGGAGATTATAAATCGAAATGATCCATCAAAGCTCTGAATAGTTGTGAAGTGATTACTAGAGGATTCCTATAAAGTATGTTCTGAAAGTTTGAAAATTGTTATTCATTTGTATGTGCACGCTCACGTGTACACATGAATACCACTGTGGAGATCAGAGGACAACTTGTAGGGATCCTAGGGATTGAACTGCAGTCATCAAGGTTAGTGGCAAGAGGCTGTACCCTCTAAGCCATCTCGCTGATCCATGAAGTATGTTTGAATCAGCACAATGCAGACTTACAAGATGCCTGTGCAAGGGAAGCATGCACCACTCTTAGGCAAGCATTGTATCACTTAGCTATATTATCAGAACCAAAATTTCTTTTTTTCTTCTTAGAGATGTACTTAACATTTGATCTAGTAACCTCCAGAGAAATCATCAAAAGGAAGGTGAACGCTACATAACATGTTCATTGCAGTACTGTGTATATAACCGGGGAAGTGGAAGAAACCTGGCTAACCAACAATGGAGGAATATTTAAATAGCAGTCTATCCACTTCGTATAAGAATGTGTAATCATTAAATAAATAGTATAGCACACTGTTAAAACGTGTCTTGCTAAACAGTTCAGTCCTAACCAATTCAGCTACTGTCATATTCACAGCACATGGACGATGCCACCAGAGCTTAAGGGTGAGACAAGATGGGAGCCATATGACGTGTGGCAAAGACTTATGAATTCCTAGGTTAATTACCAGTCCCACGTAAGTGAGCATCAGCTCTGCTTTTTCATGAATTACTACCAGCTACACAAGGCAGAGGCATTTCTGGATGCTTCATGGATGTGGCATTCTGCCACCCTATTCAAGTCATTGTGGAGACCCTTTCCAGACAGTGTGCGGTCTCCCTGTGTCTCAGTGCATCTCTCGGCTATAGAAGCATGGTTTTCAGCTTTGCAGCCCTGAGATGCATCCCACGTATGAATGGAAGTCTTTGTGTCACAAAAGTAAACTCATCAGCTTCTATGCCATGAAGAAATGTTCATCTTCTAGGGTGCACACATGTAAGCCACCTCTTTAAAATCAGCCCCCTTCAGCAGCACCGAGTGCGCCTCTGTGTGGGACGTATCAATGTCCATTAATTGCAAGAAGAAGAGCCGAGACTCCAATGGCAAAATCTGTAAAAGTAGATGTACAAAGAAAAAGGGAGCATCTGCTTCATCCATGCGACATTAGAATTTAATTTTACCTCTGCACTGCTTTTGTGGGGCTGCAATGCCGGAGCAGAGCGCATAAGCATGGCCATGCAGTGTCAGCAGGTGCATGCCACCAAATTACTGCTTTTCATTTGCATATTCATCTGCTAAGAAGCATGTCATTATCATATCAAAGGGATACTAAGCAACATCTAGCTTGGAGAGATGTGGCATAGCTTCAATAGGAGCAATTAATGCAAGATGAGGACTCTCTGTCGTGTCTCCCAGGGCCTGCTGTAATCGGGCTGATTACTGGAGACCAAGAAGACCAGGGCCCAGTTGGCACCAAACGGGGGAAGAACTGGAAAGAGGCCGCTTGTCCTCTCCACTGTACACTTGACGGCAACAGGAAGCTCTGGTCACTCCAAAGAATGCTGTTCGCGTTACTCATGCTGCAACGGACTCCCATCTGCTTCTGTTGTTACAAAACGGCCCAAACGCTGCCTCTAAGTAGCTATGTATTTCAAAAAATTAATCTAGGCTCCCAAGAGCACATAAAAAGAATGGGAAAGTGCTGTTAGAATTGCATTTACAAATGTGTTGGTACATTCCATTTGTATAAACTCCATCCTCCTCCTTTAAACAGTGGATCACCTGTAGAAGTCGGGCTGCGTCAGACTCTGAGCATATGACCCTTGCCTGTCCTTGATCTCATCTAAAGCACACTTGCACGGAGATGTGTAAAGCAAGCATAACTGGTGTAACATTGACTTTTCAGTGCTTGCCAACTGAAGGAAAGTCACCACATTTAAAACTACCCTTTGGCTACCCAGTAGCATCTTCAAGAGCCAGCATTTCCAGTTCAGTTCAGCTCATGGCACTTCCTCTTTGCTTGGTAATACTCACAGGCAAGGGGCCATCTTGAATAACTTCTTAAATGCTTGAATGGCAGAAATCAAAACAAATCTTCCTATTGCCCTGTTCATTTTCAGTCTTGTGTTTGATGCACTGGTTGTTATAAGTTGTGCTTTTAAAAGGCAGGAACTGGTAGCTTGTTTCCTAGAATGTGTAGAATAAGGTGCTGTGTGCATGTACTTTGGTTCATTTATTCAACAAATGTCTTTGAACATTCATGGACCAAATGCTTCTACAGCACTGAGGATATCGCTGTGAGCAAGCAAGCCACGTGCAGCCCTCAGTTCATGTTCTCTCATGTGCCAGTGTGTGTGTAGCCTCCCCAAGCACACACCTCATGGGAAGTCTGATAACTGTCACGTGAGTACTTTGTCTACACCTTGTTGTACTGACATTGACAATGAAAGGAACAGAAAGTTAATCTTAAAAAGTACAGACCAGTGAGTACCGAAGTCTTCTAAGGGGATGGAGGGCTGGAGAGATGGCTCAAGGTGAGGAATAGTTGAGGCTCTAGTGGAAAACCTGGGTTTGGTTTCTAGAACCTGTAGAACAGTTGTCAACCCCCAGAACTCCAGGATCTAATGTCCTCTTCTGATTCAGTGGCCACCAAGCATACACATGCAGGCCAACATATAAAATAAAAATATATGAATCTTTAAAAATGAGAGACTTGTAAATGGTCAGTAGATTTGGAACAAAATTTTCAAATAAGAGAACATTTTAAATGGCTGTTCAACCTTCTCAGCGGATTGAAACACCTTCCCAAACCAACCAAGGCAGGGTAGTCCAGTTCCAGAACCTTCCCTGATCAATTACATCATAGCCTCAGGGGGGCACTTTAGGAGGCAAGTGGTACAGAATGCTGCAGACATGGAAGCTGAAACTCAGTAGAGCTGTGTTTTGAGTGGCCCAGTTGGGAAGCAGCTGGCTCAGACAGAACCTTGGGATTTTCCGCTGCTAAGTAAGCATTCCGCTTACAGTAGGTTCATTGCGACCCAATGGCACACTCCAGTTGCCTTTTGCCACTGAACGTGCCTACCAGAAGCTGGTGATTATAATCAGTCATTAGGAGCCTGAAATCAATTTCCCCAGTGCTTCTCCTTCACACTCTGTGCTGAGAGCTGAGGCTTAGATGAAATCTAGCAGGGCAAAGGGTCAGAATGTACACAAATGCCACAAATGTCATTTCCTTGCCTCTGTCACTGCTTAGACTGGTTTTCCTTCTACCACACCAAAAAAAATTGTTGTCTTTGCTCTTATATATCACTTGTGAGATTTCGTTGTTGTTTGAGTTTCTGTGAAAAGATAAAAAGTTGACTTCATTCACAGGCATATGTATTGACAGTAACGAAGTCAAGTGGCATTATGGTATTTGGAAGATAAAGCAGTATTCTTTAGAAGAATCGACATGTTAAGGCATAATTCAAATAGCCAGACATAATTTTTTATGTTCATAAAGGGGAAAAGCTATGAAGTGATAATCGTAATAAATAACCAGAGAAGGAAAAAGGAGAATTCATTATACACCTAATTTTCTGTGTAAGAAAGAGAGAAACACCAACAGAGGAAGATAAAATCATGCTGTCAGTAACAGGAAATGCACACAGTGGACCGATTTTAACTGCACAAGATCTGAAGACTGCTGGATCCCCTTACATGCTTGCGCTAGGCTAAACTTCATGTGACTTGATGTCATATTGGAACTATAAATTCTTGACTGACTTAGCGTAGAAGCCAAGTGAATATTTTTTAAAATTAAAACTAGTATGAGGGGCAATGAGACAGGTCAACAGGTAAAGGTGCTTGCTCTCCCACCTAATGACCTAAATTTACTCCCTGGGACCTACATGGTAGAAGGGAGCACAGGCTCTCACATGTTGAAAGCGCCACATGTATGCCATGGTGTGTGGGGCTTAGGGTTAGGGTTAAAGTTAAGTAAATTAAAAATAGTAAAATGTAAAACCAATTAGAAACAAGAGATGATTTTCATGAAGCCATCCACAGAACATTGGTAAGCTATAGATTATGTTATGGGTGGTTATTTTAAAAGCAAGGAAATTTCAAGTTAGAATAGCTAGATTCCTTTATTTTCTTACTTTGTGGGGAGGTCTGGTGACACCACCCTGTGCTAGTAGCAACAGCTGAACTGAGTAGTTGATGCCCCATTAGGTTGGGTTACTCTGCTCGGCCACAGTCACCACCAGCACTATTGAGCTGTGACACCTAGCCCGGTCACCTCCCTGAACCCCTTCAGGGTCTTGAACTTTTCATCTCGGGCTTGCTGAGTGTTATTTTGAGCCACAACCTAATCGTCAAAACCCTAGAGCAGTGGTTCTCAACCTGTGGGGCACAACCCCTTTCCAGAGCAAGTGACCCTTTCACAGGGGTTGCCAAAGACCACGAGAAAACACAGCTCTTACATTATGATTCATAACAGGAGCAAAATAACAGTTATGAAGTAGCAACAAAAATAAGTTTATGGTTGGGGGTCAACACAACATGAGGAACTATATTAAAGGGTCGCAGCGTTAGGAAGGTTGAGAACCACTGCCCCCAGAGGATCCCAAGAGGCACAGGACATTATGGTGTTAACAGACCAGTAAATGTCAGCTCTGGAAAGTAAGGACTTTTTTTTTTTACTCTGCTGTGCATGCAAGGGTCTGCTGTGTCCTTTTCATGAAGCTGTTGGTGAAGTGACACTGAGAATGTGGACAGTTGACAGCAGTCATCCTCGAGCTTGTCACAGGTTGGAAGGCGTGAGTCCTTCATGTTGGAAGCTAAGACAGTATGAGCTCCACCCCAGTCCATCCAAGGCAGGATTTCTCTAACTGAATCTGGGCTGTTTTGTTGTTTTTGTTTTGATTTTTGTGGTTTTTGGGGGGTTTTCCCAAGTTTCTCAACTGATTTTAAAATGTAGCTCAGGATACAACCCCCTCGTTCAGATATCAAAAGACAAGATAATTTCCAGGTTGTACCTAATTCTGTTTCTATTAGTTTTAAAACATACACATAGCCAGACACTTGGCATCACAAAAAAACAAAACAAACCAGTGCACATATTGAATGTTCTCTTTCAAGTGTACACAGTCAGCTGCACCGTACAGGCCAAACACTAACAAAACTGAGTTTGAATCAGCTCAGCTCTGTGTTGAGGTATGCAGCCCTGCTGTTGAAGTCCTGAAGGGAAGCAAATGTTGACATTCTGTCCCCTCTGTGTGGTGGCTGTCATGTGGCTGAATTTCAGGATCCTGTATCTGAGATCCAGCCAGTCCTCCAACTGTGGGGAGCAACTGAGAACCCCAACTCTCATGGGCCAGCCTTGCATCTTTCCTGACACCTTAAGCTTGTTTTAGGTATGACAAAAAGCTCAGCTTGATCAATCAATCAAATAAATACTAAGGAAATCAGCTTGGTTACCTTAAATAAACAATCATTCATATTTAAGTGATCAAATGGCTATAAATATGCTGATTTGTGTGTGTGGCCCCTCTATAGCATAAACGTACTACTGTGCTTGATTAAATTGTCGGGAAATTCAATGCGACTTTTTCTGTGTAACAATTCAAAAATGACGGGGACTAGAGAGGAGCATGCAAGCAGAAAGTATCATTATTGACTCATGGAAAATGTGCCATAATTTTTGCTTGAAAATAAACTCATGCATCATAGATGAGTATTTGTTTTCAGAGGCCTCCTTCAGTTAGAGAAGCATGTCAATTCCTTCCCCCTTCAGAATTTGCTGTTTCCACCCAGTGCACTGACAGGAAGTCTACGTGAAAGCAGGTTTGATGGCAGAAGCCTCACTGCCTGAAATTAGAGCGCTTACTTCAGACACGACTTACCACGATGCATCAAAACACCATGAAGGCGGTGCTGAAGCGAGGCTTCAGATGGCCCAGCTCGCTGGTTTTGTGAACAGAGAAGTAGAGAGTAAGTTTCAAAGTCTGTGTCATCATCCATTTAGAAGCCAAAGATGTGCGTGGCCTTGCCAGAATCAAGGTCACGATGTGTAACGTCCTCATGGGCCTGCTTGCCACAGGTTCTAGAAAACTCCCAGTCCTCGGTGCTATCTCCTGATGTGGCTTCCTAGGGGAGCATACTAACAAGTCCTATCTTGCATATAGAAGACATTTGGTCACCTGCTGGCCCATCCCAATCCTTGTGGTCTGGATGATGATACCCCCTCCTCACCGTGTCTAGGTGGATGTGAAAGAGGAGACTTTCAGTCTACTTGATAGGGGAAGAGATATTCTCTCCTGCAAAAGAACAGCTCTGCTACTAAAAGAATGTAGGAAAGGGGACAATTCATGTTCCTCTTTGGCACCCAGGGCCCATAAGTGTAACCTGGCCTTCCCTTCTCCACAATACACGAATGCTGGCCAGACCCAAAGACCAGTTTCTGAACTGAGGAACTTATCAGTGGAGATCCCTGAACTTGGAATGGCAAATTAGGGGCTCCAGATCACTAGGAATCCCAGTAAACTCAAAGGTAGTCTATGTAATCTTAGTTTGGGGCTCTTGAACTACGGGTTTACTTCTACACGAAGCAAAACGGGTCTCTGCTGTGGGATGTTCTGTATGGCAAATGTGTTGCTGATTAGTCAATAAATAAAACACTGATTGGCCATTGGCTAGGCAGGAAGTGTAGGCGGGACAAGGAGGAGAATAAAGCTGGGAAGTGGAAGGCTGAGTCAGAGAGACACTGCCAGCCGCCATGATGACAAACAGCATATGAAGATGCCGGTAAGCCACGAGCCATGTGGCAAGGTATAGATTTATAGAAATGGATTAATTTAAGCTGTAAGAACAGTTAGCAAGAAGCCTGCCACGGCCAATACAGTTTGTAACCAATACAAGTCTCTGTGTTTACTTGGTTGGGTCTGACGGCTATGGGACTGGCAGGTGAGAGAAATTTGTCCTGACTGTGGGCCAGGCAGGAAAACTCTAGCAACAGATCTCCTCTCCTGGAATAAACTCAAAGCCCACTCCAAATCCCCTAAGCACCTATCATAACGCTCTTCACGGGAGAGGCTCTAAGCTGAAACAAGTGGAGGACCCGGTGCTGAGGCCGGGACTGCCTCTTTTCCCCAGAGAGCTGTAAAATGTCATAGTTTCATTGTTCGTATCTGGGGACAGACTGTTCTCACACTCTGACCTGGTGATGCTTGTCTGACTTAGAGGTTGAAGCAGAACAATGGAGTCCATGGATGGGAACGTCCCTCCCATAGAGACCTGCCTCTGTTGTTTACAGGCAGGTTCATGCGTGTGTGTGTGTGTGTGTGTGTGTGTGTGTGTGTGTGTGTGTGTGTGTGTGTGTGTGTGTGTGTGGAGGGTTGGCATTGGGCATCTTCCTCTACCACGCTCCTTCTTAACATTTGGCATAGCATCTCTCCAGGAACCTGGCCCTCACTGACAGCTACAGTGTCTGGCCAGCAAGCTCTCTATCTCCCCTGCACTAGCCCTCTTTCCGAGGTAGAGACAGGAGGCTGGTGAGTCAGAGACCAGTGGGGGCCACAGAGAGATGCCCTAGTTCAAAAACAATAATAATAACAGAAATAACAATAGCAACTTAGAACACTTATGGCACCACCAGAAATGTAGTAAAGGCCCACAGGCATGGAACTTGTATGAGCTGATTCCATTTCAACTACAAATATTTATTCAGAAAGACTTGGAAGAACAAAGCTCAGTGTGAGAAATGCGAGTGTAATGGTAGGATTAGTGCCTGGGCTGGCCAGGTTGCTCGGTGGGTAGAGTGATCGCTTTGTAAACGCACAGCTGAGCTTGGCCCCCCAGTGGAGTGGTGGCCATCTGGAACCCAGCGCTGGGGAGGCAGAGACAGAGAGCCCCAGAGCTCACAGCCAGCCTCGCCTAACAGGAGCACTTAGTGAGGAGACCCTGTCTCAACAAAGAAGCAGAGAGTGTAATAACCTAATATCAACTTCCACCACACACATTAATACATGCATATAATACCACACACATACATACACACACCATAAACATATACACCATATGTAATACACCATGAAACACACACACATATACACATGCACATGTGCATATACCACACACACACACACACACACACACACCCCACTACACCACATACACATACGCTGACAGCTTTTTGTCAACTTGACACAAGATAAAGTCATCTGACAGAAGGGAACCTCAATTGAGAAAATGCCTCCATAAGATCAGGCTATCTTATTTTCTCACTTAGTGACTGATGGAGTGGGTCCAGCCCATGGTGGGTGGTACCGTCCCTGGGCTGAGGATCCCAGGTTCCATAAGAAAGCAGGCTGAGCAAGCCATGAGGAGCAAGCCAGTAAGCAGCACCCCTCCATGGCCTCTGCATCAGTTCCTGCCTCTAGGTTCCTGCCCTCTTGAGCTCCTATCCTGACTTCCTTCCATGATAGGCTACAGTGTGGAAATGTGAGCCAAATTAACCCTTTCCTCCCCAACTTGCTTTTTGGTCATTGTGTTTCCTTACAGCAATAGAAACCTTAACTAAGACTTAGAAACCTTAACTAAGACAACACACATACAGACACACATGCTACACATGTGCACACACCACATATATACCTCATACATACAGGTACACATATACACCACTACACCCTATACATATACAAACACATGCATATACCACACCATATACACGTGCACATACCACATATATACCTTATACACACAGGTACACATACACACCACTACATCCTATACATATACAAACACACACGTACCACACCATATACACTGCACACACCACATATATACCTCATACACACAGGTACACATACACACCACTACATCCTATACATATACAAACACACACATATACCACACACATACACACGTGCATACACCACATATATGCCTTATACACACAGGTACACATATACACCACTACACCCTATACATATACAAACACACACGTACCACACACACACCCAGATACAATTGTCTTAAAGTTTCAATTGCTGTGAAGAGAATCCATGACCACGACAACTCTTATAAAAGAAAGTGTTTAACTGGAGCTGGCTTACAGTTCAGAGGTTTAGTCCATTGTCATCATGGAGGGAAATATGGCAGGCATGGTGCTGGAGAGGTAGCTGAGAGTTCTACATCTCAATTAGCAGACAGCAAGAAGAGAGGGTGAGTGATACTGGGTCTGACTTGGACTTCTGAAACCCCAAAGCCCACCCCCAGTGACACACTTCCTCCAATTAGGCCACACATACTCCAACAAGGTCATATCTCCTAATAGTGCCAATCCCTCTGAGCCTATGGGGGCCATTTTCATTTAAACCACCACAATGCATGTAACACACAGATATATAATGTATATAACACACACACACATACACACATGTATACACACACACACACACACACACACACACACACACACACACACACACACACACACACACACAATGGCTTCTGCCCTGAAGACTGTATACAGTGTTATCTGAAACACAGAAATGTGAAGACTTCATTCATAAATCCAAACTGATATGTTCAAACTTCAGACTACTGGCTGTCCATGGTCCCACACAAAACTGTAAACCTAAAACATTCTGAGAATTTTTTTTTGCAATTTTTAAAATTTATTATGTGAAGTTGCTTAAAGCCATATTCACTCATTATGTTATATACTCGGAGCATATTTCCCCCATATTTGACTTTTTGTAACTTGGTCAAGCCTATTTTGAATGTGAACTTTGTAGATGACAGTGTCCTGCCCCAGTGCTAACAAGTTGGACATGCCTGCATGCTGTATGAAGGCAGAGGAGGAAGCATCTGGTACACACAAGGGACTTGGGAAAGCTGAGGTGACATTGATGGATGCTGTCCAGCTTCTCTATGGGTGGTGCAGGAGAAGAAGCATCTGAGAGCCTGTAAATGTCTTCTGTAGGGTAGAGTGCACACGCCTGAGGACCTGATTCTGCATCCCTGTCACACATGTAAAAAGCTGAGCATGCCTGCCTGTAACCCCAGTACTGAGGGGGCTGAGTCAGAAGGAGCCCTGTTGCTCACTGGCCGGATGGTCTAGCCAATGGGTGAGCTTCAGGCTCAGTGAGCGAGCCTCTCTCAAGCTGCAGTCAGCTGCGCCTGGAGCAAGATGGCTGAGTAAGGGAAGGTGCTCCCCCCTAAGCCTGACAACCTGAGGGCAGTGTCTAAGACCCATGGCGTGGAGAGAGAGAAATGACTCCCACAAGTTACCCTCCAGCCTCCACACGTACACTGAGGCATTTGCATGCCATCACTCACACAAAATAATACATATAATTTTAAATTATAGTGTGGAAAGTGCTAGAGGAAAGCACTTGGTGTTGACCTCTGTCTCCACATGTTCATGCACAGGCTTATGTGCCACATACAAACATATACTCAGGTACTACACAGACACACACACACACACACACACACACACAAGCACACACATGCACACGCACACGTGCGCACACACACAAATCTGATATCCATAAGAGACAAGACTACTCAGCTAAATGCCCATCCTTCATTGTATCACTCCCTCCAAGGCCCAGGAGACATCAAGGAAGAGGGGGCAGAAAGAATGTAAGAACTGAGTGATGGAGAGGAGTGTTGTGGGCTGCTGTCTTCCAGGCATGGCATGCCTATCAGACTCTTGAATTCTCAGCAGCTGTGACTACCTACAAGAAATGGGGCCTGTCAACATTCTGTCAGAAGGCCTCACTCATCCATAAAATTTTTTTTTGTTTTATTTTGTTTTGTTTTGTTTTTTGAGACAGGGTTTCTCTGTAGCTTTGGAGCCTGTCCTGGAACTCGCTCTGTAGACCATCTGGGCCTTGAACTCACAGAGATTCGCCTGTCTCTGCCTCCCGAGTGCTGGGATCAAAGGCGTGCGCCACCACCACCTGGCTCATCCATAAAGATTTATAGGCAGTTAGGGATCGCTGGGAAAGAGAGAGACATTTTCTTCAATGGTGTAGCACTGGTAAGTTGCCCATGTTCCTGCGATATCAGGAATCCATGTTTCTGTAGGTAACAAAACTCAGTGGTTGCTCAGTGTCCCTTCCTTGCCATCCTATTCAAAGTGGCCAACACCCACTCCTTGATGCTCTACCTTCGAATGCTTGTGTCTTTTATAGAAATTCTAAGCATGAAGCCTTCTTGTTTAGTTATTTGCTTACAGTCCATCTCCCCCACTACAAGACAGGAAACTGCAGTTCACTTCTGTCTACTGGCAAAGCTTAGCACAGGCCTTGGCATCTAGTAGGCATGTCATAAATAGTCTTTAATAACGCCAGCCATGGCTTTCACTGATGTACAATTGTGTGCCAGGGCCCATTCCAGCATCTGCTCTTAATAACCTGTTTAATCTTTGCCGCAGTCCCATAAGTGGATACTGTGATTAGTGTCTCTCTTGCAGGTAGGGAAATAGAAGCACCAATGGTCAAAATAACCCACTGGAATAGCAACAATATTAACAGCAATTAGACGGCAGAAAGTGTTGCAAACCCAGAGTTTGCCCTAAACCCTACAATGCATTGCTTCTGCAAGTGTGACCCATGCTGAAATGATAAGGATGGAGAATTGTTCAGAAAAAAAAAAAAAGCCACAGTGGAGTTTTACAAAGAAAACCAAGAGTTTTCTAGGGCAGAAACATTCTAAGCACAGGGAAGGATATTCAACAGCACATATTTGGTGAGAGAGAGCTTGCTGGTACACACAAGGCCGTGCCTCCAACCCCAGAGGATACCCTGCCTCCACCAACAGCACGCATTTATTCTTTTCTGCCTTTTCAAGTCACATCTTTGAAGAGATTTTCCTTCTTACATTTGCACATCTCTAAAAATTTAAGAACATATAACATACACATACATTAAATTTTGACGTCTTTACCTGGAAGTGAATGTAACCATCAAAAAAATTAAAAAATTAAAAAATTAAAAAAAAATTTTTCAGGCTCTAAATTTTAGGCTGACATAATAGTGCACACTTTTAATCCTAGCACTTGGGAAGCAGAGACAGGAGAATTCCAGGCCAGTCTGGCCTACATAGTGAGCTCCAAGATAGCCAAGATAACAAAAAGACCCTGCCTAAAAATTAGAAAAAGAAAATAAAAGTCAAATTTTGATGGCTTTTTAAATGTTGTCTGAACCTCACAGGTACAATGGGAAAGATATTTTTTTTCTCGAGGGAGTCTGAGAGGTCTGAAGACGGTTCAAGTGTGAATACAAACACAGACCAAGGGGCACAAGAG